GGATCTGTTTTCTCTTCAACTTCAAGTTTGGATTCTGGAAAAGGATCTGTTTTTTCTTCAACTTCAAGTTTGGATTCTGGTAAAGGATCTGTTTTCTCTTCAACTTCAAGTTTGGATTCTGGTAAAGGATCTGTTTTCTCTTTAACTTCAAGTTTGGATTCTGTAATTTCTAAAATTTTAAGTTTTTCCTTCAATTTTATTGTGTTATCTTCACAGTGGATACATGTTGATTTTTGTCTGCGATATGTCAACTCTTTTATCAGTTGACTATGGGGTTTCTTGTCTTGATATAATTCAATTAGTTTCGTTTTTACGTCATCCCAATTATCAAAATAGTACAAAGAAATTCGAATCTTGGCATTACCAGTGATTCTGGAGTAGATGAATCTGAAGAGTGGATACTTATTCTCTTCAGAGGACAATTCGATAGCATTATCACAATCATCAATAAATGCGTTAAGTTGGTTCCTTTCTCCGGAAAAGAAATTAGGAATTAGACTACACAAGAATTCAAGGGATATTTGGGATGGGTCGAAAACAGGTTGATCAAGTTTAGGCATTGTTCACAAAATGAGTTACCTATTAACTACTACTTACAGTATAAAGAAATCTGATAAAGAGTTAAAACCCACCAACATGAAACGAATTACTTAAGAATTCTCCGGTTTCTTGTCGTTCAGAATGATCCTTCATCGACTGCGCCAAAATTTTAATATGTTATATTCGGTTCGTTCTTTATTTTTGTAAGTAATGAACAAGCACTTAAAACTATCACTAACAAAACTAATATTAATAAACAAGAACTTATTACAGCTAGACTAAAAATCAAATGAACCAACGCCAAGCTGTGTAGCTTGCCTATATTACTTTGGTCTTTCGTCAGTCAACTGTTTCGAATGTTCGAGCAAACACTTGCAAATAAAATAAAAGAAGAACAATTTGAGTTCGTCGCCAGTCTTTTGTTTATAAAAAGTTGAAAATGTGAATATTGAGTACGGGATCATAACAATATATATAAAAAAATAAATAAATTATTATTATTATTGTTACAATTCGATGTTTTACTACGTGTTAAACGAAAAAACATGTGTATATGTATGTTTATATTAAATAATAATAATAATAATAATATATGTTGCATTTATATAACTTGTAATAATAATAATAATAATAATAATAATAGAATAATAATTATTTTTGTTTTGTTATTAATAATAATAACACTAGTAATTTTTTTTTTTTTTTTATTATTATTATTAGTCGACGAAAATTATTTTTATCGGTTGTTGTTGTTGTTGTTTGTTGTTACCAATAAAATTTTCGAAGCAAAAAAAAAAAAAAAAAAAAAAAGTCCGCGTATTATTAATAATTTAACGATATGGTTTTTTTTTTTTTTTTTTTTTTGGAAAATACATAAAATTTTTTAATGTTTCTCAACAGCCTACTCTAATGAAAATTTTCACAGAGCCCCCCACTCACCCTCCACCCCGTGGCAAAAAAAATTTTCGGTTTATTAAAAATAATAATAATATGTGTCATCAGAACTATTTTCCAAAAAAAAAAAAAAAAAAAAAATGGCGTTTTTTTTTTTTTTTTTTTTTTTTTTTTCCCTTCGTTTACCCCAAGTAATTTATAAAACCATGAAAACTATAAAAAAAAAAAAAAAAAAAAA